GGCTGCGAGAATCAGACCTCCGATGGGCCCTATCAGACCCAACAGCTTGATACCGCCGGTACAAACCGGTCCTCAGAGACCACCAGGTCTGTATTTCTGTATTTCTGTATTTCTGTATTTCTGTATTTCTGTATTTCTCTATGCTCTCTATGCTCTCTATGCTTCCAACTGTTTCACATCTGTCGTACGTGCAACCGTCGCCTGAGTTTTCAGACTGTGCAACAATTGTGACCTTGGCTCGAGGCGAACGATCAGAGAGATCGGATCGTCTGACTAAAGTGTGAAAGTTGCAGGTCTTCCAGCAGGACCACCTAGTCAGTTACCGAGGCCCACGACGACAATGAGCGCCCCAACCACACCTTCTGTACCATCCACGACGAACATCGCCCCCTCCATTAGCCTTCCGACAACACCGTCAGGACCGACCACGACCTCGCCGCCCTCCAGTCCCATTGGCGAACGAATACCGGCCAATTCCGATCAGAACCGATCGCCGTTGAATCAAGGTGAAGTCCGCCGCCGTGGCTACGTTTCTTGCCGAGCCTTGAAAATAACCTTTCAGCCCGGCTATTTTTATTTTTCGCCATATACGTACTCGCTACCGATACCATAAAGGCGGCTCTCGCTTTGTTTTCCCAATTCTCGTATTATAGGAATCGCGTACACGTATATTTACCTGCGAAAACCACTCCGTCGCACATGCTACGCCCACGCATGTAACACTGAGAACGATATTTACGCATTCCTGACCCCACGCTCCGTCTATACATAGCCACGCTTGCGGTTACTCTACGTGGACCACCTGATCCGCTATTCCCTCTCACGAGCAGCCTCGCCTCCATGTCGACGCGTTTCCCGAACGCTACGATTCGCATTTCGTCTTTACCATTTGATCGTTCGCACGCGGTGAAATGATATGTCGACAGGGATCGAGTCGAGGCTAATTTGTACCGATGCATCTCGTGCTTGGTTAACAACGCGTATAACCGTACGTTTGTTAAACTACTCGAGAATCCACTAACAAACTTGTTAAATCGTAAAAAGTTCTTAAATCGAACAACTTCTATTCCATCTACCGATTACATCTATTTATCTCTTATCCGATACGATCAATTAATTACTCGATTGTTGGAACGCAGTGGCGGAGCATCAAAGGGAATTGGTCGCCGAGCAGTTAGCAAGAAAAGATAGACTCGCCAGGGAATTGAGAGCCGAGAAAGGACGACTCGAAGCTATGAAGAAAGAATTGCAGTCCCTCACGAGGCCCTTTGATTCTTCGATGCCTCCTCAGGTATGCCCTGTGTCGGGCATTCGCTCGTTCATTATAACGTGCCATTATAACGTGCCCAACGTAAATAAAATCACGTTATCTAACGACCACTTTGCAGGAACTGAAAAAAAAATTGAGGAGCGAGATCTATCAGCTACAAGTTGAATGCGACAGACTTGCGGATGAGGTAGATCAGTGGTCTGACCCAAGAGGTAAATAATTTTATTGCTAGTAAACGATTTCCCTTCCTCGCTCTTCCTCGCACGAAATTCACTTCTTTCGTTCGTTTTCACAGTACCTTTGGGCGAAACGAACGAAAAGTTTTATCAGCGTATTTACACGGGTCAGCCCCTACCATCGAGATCTGTCAGCGCCGACCCACCGCCTCTGCCGAGTCAGCCACCCGCCTGGCAACCGGAATCGAGCGGTAACAACGTTGATAGAGATGAACGAGACGGACCTTCTTGGGTCTGTAGAATGTGCACCTTCGACAATCATCCATTGATGAATAAATGCGAACAGTGCGACATGCCGAGGCTGTTGGATCACGGAAACACAGGTACGACTTCTGGAAAATCGATAGACGACCTTACGGCCTCGTTAACACGCTTGAACATCGATTCGTCACCTCCGCCGCCGCCACCTCCAGCACCTATGGGAAAATAAAATCCAGTACCTTAACAGCATGTCCTTTTTTTGCTATGACATTTTTGTGAATTGACGAATTTGTTTCGAACAATGATATTTTGCGAAATACCGGATACGTACGGTCCTCTATACTTCGCTGTGATCGAATGTCTTACAAGAGATGGCGTTTCTTATTGTAAAATATTTGCTCGTGAGCGAGAAAATTGTTTTACGACCACCGCAACCATTGATGCGACATCAATAAAACGTGACTATCCGACGCACTTAAACGTAACGCATGGACGTGTGCTATCCTCTTCCTTCTTCTTTTCTCTTCTTTTTTTTTTTTTTTGTTTAAATAAACTCAATCGAATCAAAAATTCGAATTGATCTTAACCAGAGGCATGTCTAATTTAGCATATGTTACAGTGTCATTTTTCCCTAATTATTAATAGTTTAATCTGTTTAATCGTTTCGACGGGTCGGTAACCGTAAATTGGTAAGTAACTAATATCTTTAAACGTTAAGTAAAATTATGTTGCGAGAAAAAGATTATCCGTAGATAAATACCAGTCATAAATGTATAATGTACGATTTGTAGGCGAAACTCAAGATATTCATATACGAGTTACACATCATCACAACTTCTCTCCGAGCCGTGAGTATATTTCCCTTCGTTTTTATCTTTCTCGGATGCGATTTCTACTACGAGACTAAAGATATCAGACTGTGTGTGATATAAAAAATGTATGCTTCTTTTCAGGGATAGTGCATAGTTGGGTGGTATGATGTGAACTGCGTTAGAAACGTGAAAACTGTATATAAAATCATTATTTAAGTTAAATAAAAAGTAGCAGCCAACAGATCGGGAAAGGAGAACCAGAAATTTAAATAACTCGATTGACTTCAATTTTTCGTCTATTCAAGAGATCGGTGTATAACTCGATTTTTGATAACAATGGATTCAGGTGTAAGATTGGAATACAACGTACCGCAAAATGTACCATTCTCACTTCTGATTACTAAATAATCAACGACTTATCAGTAGTCTGACTTCTATTTGTATGAGTTTTGAAATACTATTTAAAATACAAGATATTTGTAGTAAGTCCTTTAGCACGATATTCACTTATTATATAGCTGTACCCCGTTCCAAGTTTAGTTTCGTTTCGCGCGTATATTCCCCATAGAACCTCTCTAATTTCTGGTTGAATTTAGCATTGCGTTCGTTGATGTAATCGATATCAGCGTCGTCATTGTGCATTCTTCTTCTACTATACCTCTCTCTCTTCGCGATCCTGAAAACAGAGACAGGAGAATGACGATGCACCGACGATGTAATAAACATTAGGCTGCTAAATACTAACTGTTTCTCCAAGTCTTCCACCATTTTGTCAACAGCTTCTTTCTTATCTTCGTGAAGACCGTGTAATATAGTGTTCCTATCACCGTAGAAGGCCGGGCCTAATTTTTCTTTAGCCTCGTCGTACGAATCCATGTTTGGTTTGATATTTTTTACCAGCCTGTTGTACTGCCGAATAGCTGCTTGTTCGTAGTCTGAAAAACCTGGATCTGGATTCTTTCTGTTTTTTTTCTTTCTTGCTATACGTTCTGCCTCTGTCGCATCGATGTGAAGTAATTTCGTTCTCTCGTAGTCTTCTCCCTATAAAACGCACCATACGTATAAATTTGATATTGACACACCCTGTAACGTACACCCTGTAAAAATTGTTTTTTTTTTATAGATTACCTTCTCTTGAGCAGCTTTTCTCGCAGCTTCGTCCTGTACGATCCATTCGGCTTGTCTTTTACGCGATTCCCAGTTCGAAGGAAGCTTGCTCCTTTTATCTTCCTCTATAACTTCTTTGTGATTTTGCTGTCTGGCCTCGTTCTACGAAATCAACATTCCGTAAGAATGAAAGGAAACGGCTACGTTCGAAAACAACGAAGAGACAAATTGAAATTACAGGTTAAGGTGGAATTACTCTGTTCTTTTACCGACCCTTTTCACGTGCAGTTCCCGCAAGCGTTTCATTCTCTCGGCATGTTTCTCCGCCAATGATTTCTCGTTGTTCGCATTCTCGTTATCCATCCTGAGCCTCGAATCAACTCCGACAATTGCCAACAAGTAATTCGTTGTGGATCGCGCTCGTCGAAAGGTTAGAACGCAGTTTGGTGGTGCGACGTTACCGACACGTAGGTCGTGCCCCGTGTAATACGTGTATACCGAAAGCCGCGACAGATGTCAGTAAGCTACGATTCGTCGACGAAAAAGGCGAACTCCGTTTGCCCGACTTCTGTGGGTGGTGGATCGATTGAAATTGATCTGCTCTGTGGAGCGAGCGGAGAGAGAGAGCAATAAACGGATCCTGTCGTTCAATCCTAGGAGCGCGGTGATACCGTGGTGACAGGCGTCGAGGCAGAAGTCAGGTGATTTTTCGTCCGCCGGTAGAAGGTTTTGAGAGGCGGTACCGGTCGATCACAACTTGTCGTCGAGTTAGCAGCACTTGTGAAGGTTCGCGTTTGCGCGAACCCCGACGGTGAAACGTGACGCAGAATTGTACGCTGGCGGCGGTTGGGCCGCAGAAGAAAGTTCGCGCTCTGCGGGGCTTTTGGGGATTACCCGCGAAGCGCGGTCACAGGGTGCCGCGAAAGCTCTCCTTGAGGCGATCACGACAAGGATAGAAGAGACACGCACGCGGCTCCTCACTCGCCACTCACGACATTCTCCCGGACAAATTAATTCTCCCTATACCGTTATGGAGACCCTCGAATCTAGTCGCGTCTGCCGCCTTTGCGGCAAGCAATCCGGTATCTCGATTAATATTTTTGACAAGAATGAGAACCACGTGAAGAAAATCAACGCCATTCTCCCGATCATGGTACGTGTCATATCACTCTTCTCCCTTCTACATTCGTATCGTTTCGTTATGAATTTCACGTGTACCGTGTAAGTATGTATGTACTTGGCTGCTCTTTCCTGACATCATTCACGCCCCCTCCTAAACCACCTTTTTGCCACAAAATCTATTATCAAAACGCAACGATGTTTCCTTTTAATAAAAATTCATTCGTGTACCAGATCCGCGTATTTTTCCACGTATCTTTGTAGCTGGTTGGATCGCGTTTTGTGATCCAAAAGTTGAAACTTTTCCGTAAATAGGTTTATTGGTTGTATTTATGATACTAAAAGTGAGGTTATTGTTACTTCGCGCCAATGAGCCTCATAAACACTTTTAACGTATTGCATAACTTTAAATCGTAATCGTTTCTTTTAACTCGTTATTATCGATAAAATCGCGAGTTTAAAGCCAACTATTTCGAAGTAGAATTTCTCTTAGATACGGAAAATAGGGAATATTCGGTCGTGGAAACGAACATTGCTTTAGAGTTTCGTCTCTATTAGCTTCTGCTGTTAGTTAGAAGAGTACGTGATAATTTCAGAGAATTAAATATAATATATGTTTAGAACTTCGTATAAATACGTGTAACTCGTATTCCAACGATATTAACGGGAATATTATTGCGTAAATAGAAAGAAAGATACCGTACACGCGTTGTTGGGATCGAAATATTCTTTTATTATATAACCTGTTTTCTTTTTTTCGATAGAAAACGCAACTAATCACGTTTAAAAATGTTGTCTTACGTTTCGTTCCAACAATGTTATACAGTTTTTTTGCCATTTTTACTTCGTGCAAAACGTTTTTATGATTTTATATCGTAAAGAGTGGAACGTGGATCCCTTGAATTTCTCGCCCTTTAACTTCGTCCGCGTATTCGTAGAGCACGTGTAGTGTGTCCCCACCTCGTATCCTATAAGCGACCACGTGAACTTAACAAACACTGGCATTCGCATCGGCTGTGTATCCTGCAGGTGCACGAAATGGACCTGTTGCCGAAGCACATGTGTCATCGGTGCAGTTACAAGCTAGAGGAGTTTCACAAATTCTACATGGACTGTCTGAAGACAGACGCGGGTTTGAAGAATCAGTTATCATGGATGCGAAAGGAGGACTCGAAGGAGAGTGTCGGTGTGCCGATGGTGCACATAGAAAACATCAAGATCAAAGTAGAGCCACCGGATTACGACCTGTACGACGATAACGAGTACATAAATTCGATGAGTTCGGTAACTTATCCGGTGAACAGTGTCCGATCCGATAATATTCCAGATCCTATAACGTATACTTCGTACACACGTTGCGGTTGTTACTGTGATAAAGCGGACCAAAGTAATCAAACTGTACCTACGAACTATGGCAACGAAATATCGAGATGTAGTAGAATAAACGCCATGAGGCAGGACAACGACGGTTGCGCTAACGTATCGCCAGCTGTCCAGCAGGGGAATTTGTCGACGCATCGAGCACTCAAGGAACGATCGAATATAGTTAAGCTTGTCAACGAGGTTAAAGATTCGCGAAGAACTACTTTTTCGAATTTCAACCCATCGACGGATAAATATAGTAGCGGGAAGAAAGAAACTTCGAAAGACGCGATAGTTCGTAATTTGAGGCCTAGAAAAGGTTCTGTAGATTACGCGGGAATTAGGAAAAAGCTTTCCACTTGCTCGTCATTGAACGATGAGAATGGGTCAACGATCGTGGAGACAAAATTCGATGTGTCGCAGATTAAGATAGAGAAATTCGATTTCGAAGGACGCGTCTTAAGACCGAGAAAAGGGACCATTGATTATAGAGAACCAATACGGAAATATTCTAGATCCGCGAATAAGAACCAAAGATCGCAAAGTGATCGACATGGAGCGGATAAGACGAAAGTTCGGAATATCGCAAGCAAATTAAAATTACCGTTGAAAAAGATGTCGAAACAAATGCGAAACAAAGTAAAGTCGGATATAAAGACGGAACAGCTGTCAGATCTCGAGGATCTGGTGCTGGACGGATCGGTATCGGCCGCTATGTTATCCCTAACCGATGAGATCGACGCACTGCCTAACAATTACAATGTAAACGTACGAAACGATAGAGTTAATTGCGATGCACGAGTGAACCGTGCGCAGCATACCGATAATTTTAGTATAGCAAATTGGAACCCATTGCGAAATCTATCCAAGGATAAATTCAAGTCGGGGAAAGTCGGTTTGCATCGGATCGGAGGGATAAATTATTCGACGAGATATTTGAGAAGTCAAGACGTTTGTCTGAGAAATGGTAAGATACGAAAACCCGATAGCACGAATGTGTCGATTAAGAAATTGCGAAGAAGTTTTCGAAATTTTATGCACAGAAATAAAACATCTGGTAAAGCTTTAATGAAGGCAATCGGAGGTAGTGTCACAAGCAAAATGTCCGCCGCGATGAAAGTGCTAGATATCAAGCACTACTGCGACGAATGTAACACGAGTTTCGCTAACAAAGAATTATTCAAACTGCACGTGTGCTATGGACATTGATCATTTTACGAAATCGCCGGTAACGTGACATCGCGTAAATTTTTATTTTTTAAGCCTCGAGCAGTCAGTCGCGTTACTCGTATTCGTACCAATACGGCCATGATTACATAGATTTTGTTGATAATTAATCATACATACATACATACATACAAAGTATATGCATACTTTTTTTTTTTTTTAATCTTCTAGGGAAGAACATGTACCTATGAAATTATTTTGAGCACACGCTATCGATACGTTGATATTGTAATACTATTTTTACGAGCGAAAATGTATACAGTATAAATAATGGTCGATTGTTGATAGGGAAAAAGTAATGTAAGGCAATGTTGCGATGTACGCTTAAGAATTTATGTAGATAAAGGATTCACGGATCGCCTTCGTATTTTAAAATAAGATGATATATTATGTGTATATATGTATATCTTTTCATATAGAATATATCATATATGTATATCTTTTCATATAGAATATATCATATATGATCGATATTTCATATAGAATATATATATATATATATATATACACACACACACACACACACATATATTTTAACAGATGTTAGATATTCATATACACGAAATTGTGATATATAGTTGAAAAGATGTTAGGTTTGTATTCATCTTGTATGTAATTAACTCATCTCTTTTTTTATTTCACGTCTTGCTCTTATAGTGTAATAAATGCCAGTTTTCGTAATCGTTAACATCGATCGAACGAATATGTACGAACGAACATAAACGAATATGTTATTTGCGTTACGATCGACAACGTGATACTGTTGGTACTGTTATGAAGAACGATGATTGTTGGATTTGCGCGGAATAATCGTGGATAATGTTTAACGCTTTCTACATTAAAAATGTTATTAAACTTTGATTCTATTATTCATTGTTATTGGATATTAAATGCACTCGTCATCCCTTTGTACAGAATTCTTTATTAAATAGGAAATGTTCTCTACAACTGTCTAACAATTTTAACGATTAAAAAGTTGCAATCGTTGCACAACAATAAAAAAGAAATAAATTCTAAATAGAGAGCAGTAAAACGTATTTTCCTACTAATTGCTACCCTGTTATCTCCTTTAACTATTTATTTCATTGTATAACCGTTGCATATTTATCCTCTCTCTCTCTCTCTCTCTCTGACGTTTTGAAATTTAAAAAGTACTTTACGTTATTGGATAGGTGAGGTCGCTACGAGACGACCATCGAGCGAGTTAAAATTATCAAACAAACAAAAAGTACGCCAAGTGTCAAACGACTTCGAAAAGATGATTTATTATTTGGATTACATTCTTCGGAGGTGTTATTAGTGAAAAATCCGAATGTCTTCGAACCCTCAAAAGTCCCCTCGTTATGAGGATGTAAGTGTTTAGAATACTTCTCTGTAGTTATGTTAACCTATTTTACTTTCCAAAAGACGTTTTACGGTTTAGTCGTTTTTCGATGATTTATCGGTAAATTCGTGCTGGTTAATGTAATATATTCGAACTAAGAGATTGAAATACGTCAAGTTTTGTGTCTATTTGCATTAATTAAGATCGTATGCATTTTTAATTCATCAACAGTTGATCTCGACCGAAGATGATACTCTGGGTACGTCTATTAGCCTTAGCGTAGGTGAAAATTCAATTAGAATAAAGGAAAAACCTAAGGTGGTTGTTAAAAGATCAGAGCCGGAAGATAAGCACGAAGAGGAGAAATGGTGGTTGAAGAAGCCAGATACTTGGCTGGATATTTCACGCGCTGTTCCAATAGATGTGAAAACGAAGCAATCTCCATCCCCTTCACCGGATGTTAGTTCCTCGATGAAAGAATTTCTTGAAAAGGAGAAGATGTGCAAGGTAATTACGGTTGTCGTATCGATTGTAGAATACATATTTAAGTAACCAATAAGATGTATTTATCTATAATTTGTTCCTTTATTCTGCATAGGCTATGCATAAGAGCGAAGTCGAGATGAAAGACAGGGATGATACTTTGTGCGACATTCTGGCTTCTGCTGCGTTCGATAAATATCCCTCTGATTTTGAAAGTAAGTATCGAAAGCCGAAAGGATGGTGGAAGTTTTGTACAAGTTTCTTGGCGCAGCTGAATTAGAATTTTCTTTGTTTCGTGCAGATGCAACCGACGAGGATATAGGTAGTATTTTAGAAGAAATGAGTAAGATAGCTGGGGCTCTTAGTCCTAATTCAGCTACGGATCGTTCAAAGTCTCGCCAAAACTCTGCCAAAAATCTTACAGAGGAGGAGAAATCGGTGGAAGAATTATTAGAGGAGGCTGAGAAACTCGTAAGAAAAAACAGTAATAGTCTGTCTAAAAGCGGATCAAAATCTGATACTTTAGTACCTGAGAATATTCCGGAAGATATAGAAAGCTTTAGCAGGGTTAGACAATTAGAGGCTGATATATTTCAACTAATAGAGGAGGAGGTGCACAAAGAGACTGAGAAAATCAAAAAGAGTCCAAAGAATGAAAAGAAGAGAGACGGTAGTCCTGGATTTGAGGTTATATACGAAAATTTGAATGGTCTGAAAGCTCCGAAATCTTTAGAACTTCAGAGAAGAAAATTTGAAGAGCAGAAGGTAGAGGTGTCGAGCAGTTCTGATTTAGACGATCCTATTGAAAGACATTCCAAGTCGGAAGAATTAAAAAGTACAAGAAAACTGGAGTCGGATAAGGATAACTTGCAAAAAGAAATAACGGACGTAGATAAGGATTTTTTTGAAGATTTGCTGAGAAAGTCGAAGGAAAAAGCGGAGGGTGGTATGTCGGGTAGTTCAAGTTTTGGACAGGAAGATTTTTCCCATTTTTTGAAACTCTTGCAAGGACAGTCTAATAAAAAGGAACAAGAATCAAAGCAGTTCAATTCGAAGCCTACAGACGGAAAATTATGTATTTTGGATGGGGAAACCACGAATGACAAAAGTCCTGAATTTCCCGAGAAGGAAATTTCCGATATATTGGAGAAGGAACTACCTCGGACAAATGAAATTATCGGAACGGACACGAGCGACCATAGTGGTGAACAAAAACAATCTGAGAACGTTAACAATAGCGGTAAGAATGAATGTGAGGAAGTATCTGAGAGAACGGATCAAGTATCTTCTAGAAACGTAGCTGTGACAAAGGACGACAAAAAAGTGTTGAATTCTAAGGAAGAACTATATACCGTTGATCTGACACCGAGATTAGAATTATTCGCCGATGCAATCCCGAAGTTATTAGCGGAAAAGTCGACGGAAGATACAACGCAACAAAGCAAAGAACCCACGGACGAATCGAAAGCAGCCGTACATAAAACGATCTCAAGTTCCGAGATTAAATTTAACGTTAATGTTCCAAGTTGCGAACGTAGCAGTGTAGAACGCAAAGCCACTCATCCGTTTAGCGCGTCGAGTAATAAAACGCAAAAGAAAGAATTAAAGTTTTCCAAGTGTAAGAGTTACGACCAGATTTGTAAGCCATTGTCATTTAGAAGTTCTGTAGAAAATTTAAGAGTAAGCAAACCTTCGGATGCAGCGAAGAAACCTAGCAACGCCTTGATCAGACGATCGCCAACGTTGAAGCCAAAATTGCAGCCTACGGTTAAACCGATCACGAAAATTCCGCCCAAGACCAAGGCCATAACTTTAAAGCCAAAGAAAAATTCCGTCAAGACTGGTTCCAATCTCACTTTGTCTTCCACGTACAAATCGTACCAAGCTACTAAATCGCCGGACAGTCAGACAAAGACGATGGCCGGCGGTGACACGAAGCAACATGTAACAAAAACAAATTGGGAATTATTATGTCGCGAAGAAAGGCATAAGAACGGTCTTTTGAAACAGCAGCTGGAGTCAGAAGCGAAAATGCACAAGAATCAAATGGACAGTATGCGCGTATCGTTCGAGGAAGAACTGTTCGCGTTAAAGAAGCAGAACATGGTTCTAAAGGCGAAGGTAGACGAGCTTTCGTTAAACGAGAAACGTTCAGAATCACAGCCAAAGAAAGAGACGAAGATCATGCTTCTGGAAAAGGAACTAGAGAGGCAAGAGGATTTAATTCGGGCTTACGAAACGGAAAACAAAAAGTTGATGCAAGGTACGAAGGAAATGCAAGAAGAAATGAAACAGCTGCAAAAGCAAAAGAGTACAGCATTAGAATCTGGTAAGATACAGGAACTTGCGGATAGAGTTAAGGATCTCGAGGAAGAGACTCTGAAACTGAATCTCGAAGTCTCCCAGCTGCGAGATAAGAACGCAGACTACGCCTTGAAAAACGAAGATCTGATTCAACAGAATAGTCTTTTGAACGACGAATTGGAGATGTTTAAGGAACAGTTGAGAACGAAGAATGACTTTATCACGGATCGATTACAAGCAATGACCACGGCAGAGCTGCAATTGAAGAAGCAAGTGGAGGACTTGACGGTAAAACTAAGCTCTAAAACGGAACAATTACGAATAGCGAAGCAAGAGTTCGACAAGATGCAACAAAACGTTCTGCCGTTGGAGAAAGAATTGTTAGAATTAAGGGTGAAGGAAGGTAATTTGCTGGAGAAACTGCAAATATCTAAGAGTCACGTGGAACGTGAGAAACAGTTAACGCAGAAACTGAAGGACCAAGTGATTCTCGATAGTAAAAAGATCACGGACTTGAACAGACAAGTTCGTGAGATGGAGAGGATACTTAAGAGGAAGAATCCTGATTCGGTATCTGCTCTGATATTGACCGCGAATTCTGAACAGGAAAAGGTCGGCGCCGAGAAGGTTAAGCTGTTAGAAGATAGGATCGCGAGCCTGGAAAATGAAGTTAAAGCGAAAGATGATTTAGCTCAAGAGAAAATGGTGGAATTCCAGAGGAAGTTCTCGGATATGAGGGAGAAGTATGCTAGTCAAGTAATGGAATTGGACGGCAAACTGTTGGAGGCTAACGCGAAGAATCGTAAGATATGCAATGATATGTTTACGCAGACTGTATCGAAACCTGTAGAGAACAAGAGTGTGGAGACTATTAGGAAGGAGGAGAGGGCAGGCTCGTTCGACAAGGAAGATGTAGGGAAGAAAGACATTGCAAAATCTTCTGCGAAAGGTAGTTTGAAATGTCAGAATTCCAAAGAGGACGCTTATCTGATGGCCACGATACGTGGATTGAAACTGGAACTCGCGAACAAAGATAAGACGATTTCGAAGCTGACGAAAGAATTGCAAGATTTACAAAAGACGAACGCGAGACTGCAGAAGGAGAGAGAGAAGTTGTTGAACGATAGGAGATCCGTGAAGACTATGAACTTTGAGAGGAATCGCGGCATGGTATCGTCGGATTCCAAATTGCTGACTTTGAGGTGTATCGAAGGGAACGATCAGAATTCGAACGTCTACCAAAATGGCCACGTGTCTGACACAAACGCTCAACGATTGTCCGCTTGCGTACAAAAGCTTTACGATCCGATGCAGTACACCGAGAACGGAGATAGTAATCTGGTGAAGAGATTGGCCGATGAGAATGATATTCTGAAAGAGGAACTAAGCAAGATGAACAAGGATTTCATGGCTTTGAAGAACAAACGGCTTCACGATCTGAATCTCTTGCAAGAGGAACATGAACGCGAGATGGCCGCTTTGTTGAAGGAGTATAGCATGAAATTCGGAGATTCTAAAGTGGTAAAGTTACAGGTTCGTAGTATTACGTGCAGTGTTTATTTCGCTTTCTCGTTTATTTATTAGTAGAGTGCGAATATTCGTCGATGGAAGATTCGCCTACTAAACATTAGAGGCATCTTGTTTCGGATTTTACACATTTTCGCGTACCATGTTCGTCGTGTGTATTTTTTAGCTTGCGATAAATGCGTAAAAGTCTGCGTAGTCTACCCGTTATTAGATCGGCATGATAAAGCGTTTGCACGTAGTACTCTTGTCACCTTTCTGCGATCAATTTGATCGATAAAAGCTCTGTTTCTGTTAACAGGGCCAGATAAATAGTCAAGTGGCCGAGATATCTCACTTGAAGCAGGAAATTGAGAAGCTTAGAGACTACGAGGAACAGGTGATTGTTCTGAAGGCTGAACGGCAGCATTTGGAGACTAAAGTGAAAACGTTGAATGAAAAAGTGAAGTACTTATCAACACCGGTATGTAATAAGAGATAAGCGTTGCACAGCATTCGTTTTATGCGTCTCTTTGCGATCTAATCCCTCTGCACCCTCTGTTTCAGAGTACAGAACAGCTGCAGCTGTTGCAGGATAAGATAACGATTCTCCAACAACGACACGAAAGCCGCGAGATGACGTTGCAGAGTTTAGTGCGCGATTTGCTAAGGAATAGAACCCAGTGCAAAGACTGTAAAAACGAGAAGGGTAAAAATCGACAATTGTGCTATTTCCGACAAGAGCTTGACCATATTCTTGGAATGCTTCAAGAGATCGCCAATGTTCATTGATTCTAGATGAACTAGATTAGATATGCGTGTAAAGTGGTGCTGATGAAATATCGAGAAATCGACGGATTGCAATTTCTCGATTCGATATCGGGCATTGTGATAATTCGTACGTTCGTATCTGTACTGAAACGAATCATAGGTATCTGTTAGGAGAAGCTATCACGTTGTTAGGCACTTTATACATATGTGAGCGAAAGTACAGCCAAAAAGGTTTGGTCGGTGCTTTTTTTTATCGACCTTGCCAGGAACGCGACACGATCAGTTGTTCGTGATCGCGTCTGCGATATATTTAGTTATTCTTGCGTCACAAGATACGGATATTTAGTGAAATCATATCGATCCTGGGGAAGCTCGCGCGTAATGATCGACTGCGATCACTGCCAAAGTTAGAGGAAGAAAAACGAAAAGGAAAGGAAGGAAGGAAGGAAGGAAGGAAGGAAGGAAGGAAGGAAGGAAAAAAGAGAGACGGACAAATAACGAAGTTACAGTTTTATCGTAACTTCTCGTCGACGTTCCTTCTTGCCATTGTGCGTGTATTACGCATGGACAACGTCCACAGTCGGAGTAATAAAACTAATAGTGAAATATCAAATGAGAACATAGAGATATTTTGATCTATATTTACTAAAAGCAGACTTTTTATTTATCTAATAACGTAGGTAGTAACGATCGTCGAGGAAAGAAAAGAACCTGTGACTGCTTCCAATTGGGAACTAGCTTTAGCCTTCTACTTGTCGTCGTTCTGGAATTCGAATAGATAGACCATATAAACATAGGGGAAACGTCTTGGGAAAACAAGAGATCTCTTCCAAAGTCGCATAGAAGTTAATTTTTTACACGAAGCTTTTTCAGGATATGCCAAGCGTCGTATTGAATCGTTCGAATAATTGTATTTATTTCCTATTTATATTCACACTCGTTCTTCGCCATCAACGAATCCATCTATAATCGAGTCGTCCACTTGTATAGTACGTATATTTATATACACTTTAGAAATATTCATTAAACGTTTTAGCAATCACAGTTGACACTCTATGCTCTCGCGACTAACTAAGCACACGCATATCGCACAAATTCGACGTGTCCTAGACGTAACGATGTTAAACGAGTTTGTTACAGGATGATCGTAGAATACAATTGTTTGCTTTTGTCTGTTTTGTACCTGTTTTTATCAAATTGTTATAATTACACTGAGTACTACGGTTACTTCTTCAAGACTGGATATTATGTGAAATATAATGTGAAAATCACTGAATTTTTTTATAATTACTTCTAAGCCGTAATGTACAAACCATGAGATTATGACTCTTTAATAAATCACTTCTCTTCTCTTTGACTTTTCTCTACTTGATATTTTTACTTTTTAACTTAACATTTTGTTTAGTACGATGTATGCTTGTGCTACTGTACGGTATGTGTGCGATGTGCGATGGGAGAGTCGTTTCAGGAAAATATTCATAGCGAGTACACGATGTTTGACTTTCGTTTGAACAGTTTATTCAGATAAAATATATCTTTTTAAATACATGCGACAAATTTCTGTCTCTACGCAGGTTACTTTTATCAGCTGTACACCAATATACAGTTTTCTCGTTAAGTACATAGCAAGTAGAGTTAAGTACATAGTATAGTGGAAGGAAAAATTACACTAGAACAATGACTAAAAGCAGGTCTTGGAAGTAGCGGATCGTTGTTTTTCCTTAGGATAAGAGTCTACCATATAGTAAATTGCGGTCCCTGTCTCACCAAGTTTCTGTAACAAACGGTCGTATTCTATTAATATCATTAATATATATTTCTGTTTTAATTAGGCTACCGATACAAACGATACACATACGGTATTTGCTTACCTAATGAAAGAGCGTTTCCCGTAGAAAATGGATAATCCGTACATCGTACAAAGTCCAATTGCGAGTGCCTGACGGATAATTTCAAACGTAAACGTGTAATTCACGGAGTTTCGTTGTTTTAGGAAGTCCGTGGTGCCTAAAATCTTCATCCTGGGCATGAAATCATCGCCGCGTGCTTGACTCTTCTCTCGTACCGTTAAGGAACGTGTATTGGCGGGGATGCTGGAAATCCGTTGTTGAGATCGGTCTCTTCTTCGAACAACGGTTGAATCTTGGATCGATTGGCTTCGAGAACGAGAATCTCTATCCGCAGAGCGAATATCCCTTTCCACGGAGCGAGATCGTCCGATATCGTTTATAGATCTATCTGGAGAAATTGCCAGGGCTTTGTCAGCAAATCTTTGTCCCTTCTGGCTAGAGCGAATGTCATTTCCAAGACGAGCAAGCATAGTGCCGGTTTCTTGAGATCTATCGGTGTCGAGCGTCTGTCGTACCGAGCGTCTCGAGTTCAAGTCTCGCCGATCGATTCTCTGCCCTGTGAGACCACGTTCCACGAGTCGACGATCAGCTCTTTGTTTCATAAGTCGACGATCAGTTCCGGTTTCAACGCGGGTTCGAGATGCCATGGACGTGGATCGCCTCTCCACGGCTAGTCGTCGTCGATCAGCCCTTTGTTCAACGAGTCGTGCGTCGGTTCTTCGTTCCACAAGTTGCCGATCAGCTCTAGCTTCTTCGCGACTTTGAGATTCGATAGACGCGGATCGTCTTTCCCTGTATCGTCGATCGATGGTTCTGGCTTCTGTGCGGAATCGAGATTCGACGGGTGTGGATCGCCTTTCCACGACGAGTCGGTTAGTTCCTCGTTCCATAAGTTGACGATCAGCTCTAGCTTCTTCACGGTTCTGGGATTCGATAGACGCGGATCGTCTTTCCCTGTGTCGTTGATCGGTGATTCTGGATTCTTTGCGGAATCGAGATTGAACGGGTGTGGATCGCCTTTCCACGACGAGTCGGTCAGCCCTTTGTTCCATAAGTTGACGATCAGCTCTAGCTTCTTCACGGTTCTGGGATTCGATAGACGCGGATCGTCTTTCCCTGTGTCGTTGATCGGTGATTCTGGATTCTTTGCGGAATCGAGATTGAACGGGTGTGGATCGCCTTTCCACGACGAGTCGGTCAGCCCTTTGTTCCATAAGTTGACGATCAGCTCTAGCTTCTTCACGGTTCTGGGATTCGATAGACGCGGATCGTCTTTCCCTGTGTCGTTGATCGGTGATTCTGGATTCTTTGCGGAATCGAGATTGAACGGGTGTGGATCGCCTTTCCACGACGAGTCGGTCAGCCCTTTGTTCCATAAGTTGACGATCAGCTCTAGCTTCTTCACGGTTCTGGGATTCGATAGACGCGGATCGTCTTTCCCTGTGTCGTTGATCGGTGATTCTGGATTCTTTGCGGAATCGAGATTGAACGGGTGTGGATCGCCTTTCCACGACGAGTCGGTTAGTTCCTCGTTCCATAATTTGACGATCAGCTCTAGCTCCTTCGCGGTTTTGGGATTCGATAGACGCGGATCGTCTTTCCCTGTATCGTCGATCGATGGTTCTGGATTCTTTGCGGAATCGAGATTGAACGGGTGTGGATCGCCTTTCCACGACGAGTCGGTCAGCCCTTTGTTCCATAAGTTGACGATCAGCTCTAGCTTCTTCACGGTTCTGGGATTCGATAGACGCGGATCGTCTTTCCCTGTGTCGTTGATCGGTGATTCTGGATTCTTTGCGGAATCGAGATTGAACGGGTGTGGATCGCCTTTCCACGACGAGTCGGTTAGTTCCTCGTTCCATAATTTGACGATCAGCTCTAGCTTCTTCGCGGTTCTGGGATTCGATAGACGCGGATCGCTTTTCCCTGTGTATCGGTGATTCTGGATTCTTTGCGGAATCGAGATTGAACGGGTGTGGATCGCCTTTCCACGACGAGTCGATCAGTCCTTTGTTCCGTGAGATATCGGTTAGTTCTTCGTTGCAATTTTTGTCGATCAGCTCTAGCTCCTTCACGATTTTCAGATTCGATAGACGCGGATCGCCTTTCCCTGTGTCGTCGATCGATGGTTCTGGCTTCTTTGCGGAATCGAGATTCGACGGATGTGGATCGCCTTTCCACGACGAGTCGGTCAACTCTTTGTTCCATGAGACGTCGGTTGGTTTCTCGTTCCATAAGTTGACGATCAGTTCTAGCTGCTTCACGATTCTGAGATTCGATAGACGCGGATCGCCTTTCTCTGTGTCGTCGATCGATGGTTCTGGCTTCTTTGCGGAATCGAGATTCGACCGGTGTGGATCGCCTTTCCACGACGAGTCGGTCAACTCTTTGTTCCATGAGACGTCGGTTGGTTTCTCGTTCCATAAGTTGACGATCAGTTCTAGCTGCTTCACGATTCTGAGATTCGATAGACGCGGATCGCCTTTCTCTGTGTCGTCGATCGATGGTTCTGGCTTCTTTGCGGAATCGAGATTCGACCGGTGTGGATCGCCTTTCCACGACGAGTCGGTTAGTTCCTCGTTCCATAATTTGACGATCAGCTCTAGCTTCTTCGCGGTTCTGGGATTCGATAGACGCGGATCGCTTTTCCCTGTGTCGTTGATCGATGGTTCTGGCTTCTTTGCGGATTCGAGATTCGACGGATGTGGATCGCCTTTCCACGACGAGTCGGTTAGTTCCTCGTTCCATAATTTGACGATCAGCTCTAGCTTCTTCGCGGTTCTGGGATTCGATAGACGCGGATCGCTTTTCCCTGTGTCGTTGATCGATGGTTCTGGCTTCTTTGCGGATTCGAGATTCGACGGATGTGGATCGCCTTTCCACGACGAGTCGGTTAGTTCCTCGTTCCATAATTTGACGATCAGCTCTAGCTTCTTCGCGGTTCTGGGATTCGATAGACGCGGATCGCTTTTCCCTGTGTCGTTGATCGATGGTTCTGGCTTCTTTGCGGATTCGAGATTCGACGGATGTGGATCGCCTTTCCACGACGAGTCGGTTAGTTCCTCGTTCCATAATTTGACGATCAGCTCTAGCTTCTTCGCGGTTCTGGGATTCGATAGACGCGGATCGCTTTTCCCTGTGTCGTTGATCGATGGTTCTGGCTTCTTTGCGGATTCGAGATTCGACGGATGTGGATCGCCTTTCCACGACGAGTCGGTCAACTCTTTGTTCCATGAGACGTCGGTCGGTTCTTCGTTCCATGAGTCGACGTTCAGCTGTTCGGTCTGCGAGACGACGGTGAACCCTTTCTTCGCTAAGTCTACGATCTACGCGTTGATGAACGACACGATTATCTCTCCGTTCCACGAGTCTGGGATCGGCTCTACCTTCTACACGGTTTTCAGATTCGACGGACGCAGATCGCCTTTCTGAGTTTCTTCTAGAATCCACGAATGACCGACGTTCCGATCTTCGATCGTTGGACAAAGCCCTGACTCGTCGTTCCTTTAAGTAATTGCTGGTAATTTCAGATGCCCTGACAGGCGAAGATTCGCGTCGTTCGCGAGCCAAGTTCAGTCTGTTGTTCCTCTCTCGATCGAAATTGTCCACGGAACGTCTTAACGACGTAACGAAAGAACGTCGTCGTTCGTTTGTCCCCGCATTCGCACGACCATCCGATCGACTAACACTTTGTCGTTCGTCGGTCGTTTCGCGTTGTTCCATTCTGGTAAAAAATCTGTGATCTCGATGCAGTCTAGAGTCGCGTCTGATCGTCGTTTGGATACGATTTCGTCTATCCACGTTTCTCGGAGATGGTTGGTTCCTTTCTCGATGGGAATCGGCGGTAAAAGTCAGTCGTTCCATAGAGCGTACAAGGTTTTCACGTTCTTGGGAATCGATTACTCGCCTATTTACTTGACGACGCCTATCGGTGTCGGTAGACCTTTCGAGCAATCTTCGTTCAGCAAGATCCTGCGTAGTTCTGGAGTTGAGCGATCGAGCGATCTGCGGTCGGCTTGCAGAATCAGATACGCGTTTTGTACGATCTTGGATTCTATGTCTCGGTTCGACGGTACGTCTAGAATCGTATTCGATGTTGCTTCTCTGCCTGCCCTGTCTCTCCATTGTTCTCGCAAAGTCAGCTCGAGATTGAGACCGTATCCTGGAGGCACGATCTAAGCTTCGAGATCGGGACACTCTGAGATCGGTTGGTACGAGGGAAATTCCGTAGTCTCTAGTTTGTTTGGTCGTCTTCGAAATCCTGGTCTGGTTTTGCTCGAAATTCGAGCAAGAAGGCATCTTGGTGAAAAGGCTCGAGTTCGGGCAGGCATCCACTCTGCGAGGAAAACGACAGATTTGGCGCAGTGTGTTTTACGATTCCAATAAGTTGGTTAGATGCTACGATCTACGATCGAAAATCCTAACAGACCGAATTCCAAGTTCTAAGATTCGAATAAACTAAATTCGAAATTTCTAATAAATTAAATTGCAAATCTAACAAGGTAAAAATCGAATGAGCTAACTTTTAAGACTCTAATACGATAAATCGTAGATTTTTCAAAAATTCTAGTAAGCGAAATGTTACTCGTGAGGAGCTTGATGTTTTAATTCGGGTCCCGCCAGGCTTCCTGCTCGGCCCTCCTTATCCCTGGAGACGAGACCTAGCGTCAGGCAGGCGAGGGATACCACCAGAAGGCCGACATACTGCCAAGCTCGTACCGGCAATGCAACGTACCTCGTACGTCGCATTCTTAACGTCGAAAGAAATTTTTCAACTTTAAAGAGGTTTCGAACGCTTATACTCGCGATTCCATCTACATTCTACTTACTTGACTCTCGTTTTCGTAGTAGCCGGTTTGTACTGCTGGTTCGTACGAACTTTTCGTTTGGAGTGGCCAGCGAAGTGTTCCTCGGAGGACTCCTCGTATTCTTCCTTAGAGAGCTCCAGAGAGCTACTGATGTCCTGTGCTCCGAGGAGCCGAGCTTTTATACTCGCAGAAATCCGCCACAATTCGATATCGGTGCAATTCAATGCTTATCAGCACCGACCACATGGGACCTCGTGGGACATGGGTATCCCGATAGGTGAAAATCACCGTGAATGAAATCGGGTCGAGAACTATCGCAGACGCCTCCGTAATTGGTTAACCATCTAGAAAATTGCGAGCCCGGACACCTGCGTGGTAGCTGATATATCGGTTACCCGGTTGCCTTGTGGCTGAGCTTCAAAGCAGTCGCTACATCGATCACCAACAGTTTGAATCTCTCTTTACTCCGGCGAAATGTAGCCGGACTAAGTGACAGGGGATGTTCGATAGCTTGGAAATTTCGAAAAATTTCGATTTCTGCATCAACTACGTTACTCTACCGATACAACTAATTAACGAAATTATCTCTTCTTCCGATAAGCAAACGGTTTTACAACGGTGAAATCACTCCTCGAAGCATTCGCGAATGTCCATATTGTTGCAAGTAGCCACATATCTATGAAACTCTGCAAGTTATGGAAAGTATTCGATTGGAAGTTTTATGGTTTCCGACACCCCGTACATTGTAGCGGTAAGAATATTTCCGTAAAGCCTTTTCTTCTTCTCTACTGTAATTATACTATACTTTTCTCTTTTTTTTAACTCGCATTCGTCGCCGCTCGAGGTTTTACTAACAATTTTTTAATAAAAGGGGATGGCAGTCGACGACGATACGCACAATGGTACAGTTTCTACAGACTGGTTTATTTTTTTTATACAAAATTCATATAAAATAGAGGGGAAAGGCTTGTAGCGCGAATACCTTATAAATAAGTGGATGGTATATTTACATTACATTACATTATACATATATATTATATTATATTATATTTTTGTGCGTGTGTGGGCGTGTGTATACACATATACGTACACATCATACACACGCACACGCGCGCGCACGCGCACACACACACATACACACATGCACGCACGCACGCACACACACACGCACGCACGCACACACACATATGTCGGGCGGTGAAAATTTTTCCAAAATCTTGCCCTATCTATCCCTGCAGGTAGAGATATATCGGCCTCGTAAATTATTGTTGGACGATATCGTTCGTTTCTAGCCTGTTTCGAACAGTGGTGATTTGTAAGCGAGACGAATAAGAGACGGATACGTTTGACCGTAGAATCAACGACGATCAAACAACGGACAATCAAACGTCTAATACGTATTTGACTTTAATTTTAGGAAACAACGATCGCCGTAACGAGAATCGTGAGAAGCGGCACGATGTCAGAATACAAGGTCCTCGATGCACTGGATAGCATTGCCATTTCGCTGCACGTGGTTTCGTTCGTTTCTGGCAGTGCTGTGTAGTTTGGGAACGTTTGTATGTCAGCCGGCTGCAAAGAACGTGTTACGACGAATGTCATAAATTTCACCTTTGAAAACTGTTCCTTAGACGGATGGATTTTATTCTATTTTATTATATCGTTGAAGAACGTTTTATAGAATAGAGGCAGGTTGCTTGTACTGCTGAGATATCGAAGGAGAAGATACGAGAAGGGATAAAAGTTGGACGTACCAGAGCAAGCTTATCGTCCCTCTTTCTGCAAAATGTCATGTGCCTGCCATGATACAGACTCTGTTCGATGGATCTAGCAAGAAGTTCCTCCGTCCAGGGTAGAGCCAGCATATGTTCGGCCAAAGTTCGACCTATCGAGACACGTGATTATCGTAGTCTTATATCGGTTATCCGGTCACGATGATTGTCAGTTTGCTGGGAATAGGCGTTCGTATCGTTTACCTCTGAACTCTTCGGGTTCTTCGATGATCAACCGAGAGAAGACGTTATCGTTCTCGTTTTCCACCGTGTAATCCCTCATAGCCATCAAGGCAGACTTTGCCTCCCTTATAAGTTCCTCGTCAATTTCTTCGCTGGGCCTTGTAGCAGGGTAAATCGGAAGCTGTTGTTGACCAGTGGAAGGAATAGTCACGGCATCGGTCCTGCGACAAACGAGCAAACGTAACAGATAAGAAGGTACGTAGAATATACGTTGTGCGCGTCGTACGCGCAAACTTTTACCTTTTGCTTACCTAGTTGTTAGGAAAAGCTTCTCCAGGTGATCCATAGTAACGCCTTTGAAGCTGTACACGCCGAGAGTCTTGAACAGATGTTTCACCGGCGTCATACTGTAACAAGCTGCTAGTGGTGTTCTCGGATAATGTACCACGAAGGCCAGACACATTTCCTGAGATGCCGCGTATCCTCCCAAAGTAGGTTTCGTCCTGTCCAACGTACCGTAAACACACTCGGCCAGCAATTCGTCTCCTGGAAGCACTTTCACCTCCTTCTCCAGAGTATGAGACTGTTGATACTCAAAATCAAAGTGGTTATCCTCGACTATTCTGGGTAATTCTTTGCCTTGGCGAATGTGTTTCAGACTCAAACGACGACCGGCCAAGTGAGAATGCAAGACCACCGAAACGATGTTCACTCCGCCTTCAGGGAACATCTGTAAGGGTAATTCGCACAGTTTAAAAGTTTAGAAACGAACGGATGGAAGAAGCGTGTCGCAATTGTCGAAAGAGCGGCGTTTACGCACAGTGTTGGTACAATGAGGAGTACAGTAACCCGCCGTGGCGTATTCCTTTTGTTTCGGTGGAATCAGGTGAAGAGGACTAACAGCCACGCCAGCAACGAGAATTCCCGCTTCCTGAGGACGTAGGTTCGCAGTCAGGTGTAGACGTACTCCGCTGCTGTCTACCACCTTCTTCATATCCGGATTATTATAGTGCACTTCCAACATGTAATAAGAGCCTTCGGGATGTTCCGCGATGGGAATACCGACGTGTTCCGGAAGCCATTCACCTGTGCCGAGACACATCGTATCTCTATACCATACTATCTCGCTACTACTATACGTAATCTCTATACCAATCTCTATCTCGCCATATTCGTTCTACTTGTCATTGTGTCATTAAATAATCGTGTCTCGAGAAAAGTCTGTATCGACATTGGCGAGAAGAATCGCCGTGCCGTGCTTCTGATAACGGCAAAGACGATAATTTACAAGCTGTCGTGGTTTCGAGTAATTGGTAATATTTGGTAATTCCGGTTCTATCTAAATTACCGACTGTTAAATCTACACTCGCGAGTTAAACAATCGAAATTGTCAAATAAATCTTATGCTCTTTCCTCTGGTGTACCTGTACTACCACGCGCCCAGGCAAGCACCGGCTGCAAACAGGATTCCCATTCTCGCGGCATCGTAGGACTGTAACACGGAGCTCCAACGATTCTCGCGTGTTGTCCCAAGATCGACAAAGTGGAGGCGCACTCGTACAATATAATATGATGAACCAAATCTTCGTTCTCCTTTTCCACGAGTGGCGTGTACTGAAATCGGAAGATGAATCAGTCGTTGCTCGACGTTTGGCGCGTATCGTCCTATAGTCGGTGTTTGTATCTGATATATCGACGACGGTATACGGTCGAGAGGATTCGAAGAAGCAGAAGAATCAATCGCGTGGCCAGACAGTTTCGGAATATCGGATCGAACCGCGTGTTCTTCTGCCGAGAAATCTTCTCAAGCGGATTCAATTGGCAATCGGGCAACGTTTCGGCCACGGAATGACATCATTCCGAGGCCCTTCTTTATTCTAATGACGTCCATCGACACGGTGCCATGCCATCCGGCACGGATGACCGTGATTCGTGAAGCACATACGGAATCAGACCCAACCTTACCACATTCCTCGGTACTCGCGTCGCGCATCAAATTTATTCCAAAACGAAGACATATTTCGATAAATTTCGACGAATTTCAATTACTTACCCCGATCATATGGTGTTTCTCTTTGTGAGGTGCCTTGAAGATCTTGCACCAATAGGTGGTGTCTACGCTGTCTGAAACCGGAGGCTATGTATCAAGAAGAACACACGATTAATCACGATACAGGCATTCTCGTTGCTAGGCAACGATTAATAATTAAACTATCGATCGTTTCGCATTGAGCGTTTCCGCGTAGCAACGCTTGTACGAAGCGAGCAGCGCGAGAAACGCGGCAGCTAAACGTCTTCTTTGTTCATCGTTGTGTATCGAGAATTCTTCTTTGTCGAGAGGACAAAGTTAATAAGAAATTGT